GTTCAATTTGATGTATTGGTGTCGACATTCTATTTGTTGATGGAGTTATTCCCATTATTTGTTATTGTCTCTTATTTTCACGATGTTTTATCTTAATTTAAAGTTTATCGTTAATTCTTATAGTTATTGTATGGTTAATAATCTTGTTTCAATTAGTGTTCTATTAAATAGGAAATGGAATAATATTTATTTCAGGTACAACATCTAAAACATGTGAAACTTGTCACATGAAACATTGAAATGATTTACAACAATTTTAGAAGTAAGACTAAGAAATATTTATTAAAAAACTTCATATTATTTTTTTTTTCTGTTTTATTTCTATTTTTATGATTATTATAAAATTTGTTTTAAATAACATATTTATTTTTGTTATGTATATTTTAATGTTATTATTTTTTCTTTATAATATTTTCAATAATGAGTAGTTAATCAATAACCATAGCTTCTTCTTAAGTATTTTATTTGACGTTTCTGTGTGTTACTTCAAATATTCAAATAAATGAATTTCATTGTTTTTTATCTCTATTTTGTTATTCTTCTTACTGTTAAATTATTTCATTCTTATTGTTTTGAATATCAAACTATTTTATTTTCTTTCAGCATAAGAGTTTACAGTGACTTTAAAATTATATTTTAATACTTATTTGTTTTTTTTCTTTCAATTTCATTCATAAAGTAATAATACAATTCAATTATTAGAATTTCATTACATATTACACTAATTTGAATGTAAAAAATATTAACAAAAAGAAATGTAAAACAATGAGAATTATAAGTTGATTTAATGTCTTTTGTCTGATAAGTTTAATAATTCTTAATGAGTCATTTATAAAACTAGTCAATAAAAAAATTGAAGATATTATTTACTAAGTAGTCGTTTTTGTGGTTCAGAAATATCAATTTCGTGTGGGATTAAATAGTCAATACTTGGAATAATTTCAGTTCCAAATTTATGAATAAGAAATTCATTTTGTAGTTTTTTTGTTTGACATTTTTGAAATTCATTGCTTTTTAAAGTGAGTCGAATAACATCTTGATAAAATGGATTAATTTTATTTAATGAAAAAAGATTTATAAAAGGATCTTCTGTTATATTTGATGGTAAATTTATTTTAATTAAGGTATTATTTTGATTAAGAATATATGAAAGTTCAAGTTCTACATTTTCAATAGAAAGATAATTGAAACCATAAATAAATCTAGAATTGAAAAATTCTCTAGAAATAACATCTCTATTACATAATCTATCTATGAAATAAAGTAATAACTTTTTCTTTCCTAAAACAGTTATTCTTGTCTCTGTTTTACATAGATCAATATCTTTTAAAATAATATCATTTGTTATATTTCTAAATATTCGTTCTAAAGGAGTATAATACCATAAATGTTCATTAATAAATTCTATAAAAATTTTATTTTCATTAAATAGATTGAATAAAGTTTGGTCTTGTATTATCTTTTTAAAGAAATGAGGAAGAATTAATATTGAAGAACCTTTATATTCTTTATGTTCTTTAATTCGTTGAACAGTTGGAATGAAAATATTTTTTAAATAATTGATTATTGAATTTTTTGTTATAAAATTACTTCCTATTTCATGGTGAATACCATGAATCTGTTTTTCTAATTCTTTACTCATTTGTTCTGTTTGAACACAACATAAAGGAGGAAAACATTGACCATTTCCTGAAACACAAAATGCAATTGTAGAATTTCTTGTTTCTCTTCCAACATATAATTCTATACTTTTATCAGTATCTTTGTGAATAATACTTTCTTCGGAATTACCAACAAAAAGTCTAAAATCATAAGTATCAAATGTAAATATCCATGAAGCATTAATACTATTATATTGATGTAATGTTTGTACCATTTTAATTATTTTTTCTTTATTCAATTCTATTTTAAGTGGTAGTTTAACAGTTTTTTGTTGTTTAAATCCAAAATTATTCATTATTGAAATAAGACTTTGTTTATTTATTTGAATATTATGTTGTTCATTTAGTTCAATTATTAAAGTATTTAAAGTTATTGATTTCTTTTTAGTATTTATTTTTGATAACTTATTAAATAACATATAATAAATCATATTCTTTTTCTGAGAATCTATAAGGCTTTGTTGTTCTTTTTCTATTTGAATAGACTTATTATTTTGAACATTTATTTGAGACGTCAATTTAATTTGGTTCAAAATATTATAAACATTGATATCAATATTTTCATTTGTTTTATTATGCATTTGTTCTAGTTCTTTAATTGATTGATTAATTTTTATTGTAGCTTTATTACAATCATTCATCATTTCTTCGTCTAAGAAATAAAACCTAACTTTTTCAATGTTAATTCCATCTACATATTGTTTATAATATTTACTTGTAATAATAAGCATTTCTTTGTTTGTACTATTTAACAATTGTTTTCTTTTTTCTATATGAGTCATTAAATTTTCTATAAACCATGTTTTAAATTCTTTATTAGTAAAATAATTTTTTGTTGTAAGTCTTTCTGTTTGATTAAAAGAAGTAATATACTCTCCTTTTCCATCAACACATAATACATTACATGAAACTTTATTTCTTCTATCAAGTATTAAATTAGGTTGTTGCTTTTCATTATTTTTTAATAATGAATTAATTATTTTTTGATATAATGGAATTTGAATTCCAACTTCATCAATAAAAAATGTTAATTCTTTTCCATATTTTTTCATTTTATGTTCAATTTCATTTTTTAATTGGTTTATTTTCATTTTTAATTTAGAATCTTTTACTGGTTGATTTAATTTAATTGGTATTAACTTCATTTGTAATTGTTGTAATATATTTGTATCAATTTTAATTATTTTTTTAAAATTTTCTTCAATGAAACATTCTATTAATGAAGGAGTGACTAATATTTTTTGATTAATGCAATTATAATAAAAGTTAATAATATTCTTCTTTAAATCAGTTGTGATAGACATTTTTTGAGACTTCATAAATACAACTTTTAAGTTAGAAATTCCTGAATAACTTCCAAATTTTAATAAAAAAAACGTATTTTTTTTTAACAAATAAAAATTTCAATAAAAGAAAATTTTAATGAATTTAAAGAATAACACAAAAAATCATTACCAACAAAGAGACTATCATTTGATACCCAGAAGATCTAGTGTTTGTAGGTAAATATCCACATTTTCCAGAAATACATCTTAAACCAGGTCCACATTTTCCACAATAAGGAACACAAAAATTACTATAAGTATTATCTAACATAGAAGAATTTTGAAGAGAAATTATTGAATAAGAATCTTCACTACATTCATTAACACAAAAAGCAGAAGTAATATTACATTCAATAATATCATTAAAACTTTCTATTCTTTTAAATTCTAATTTATGAACAGAAATATTTGCTCCAATAATTCCTTTTAATTTAATACTAACAAAATTAACAAAAGAAGAACATGAAGTATCAACATTAATTTTAAGAAGATTACCATATAAAATAGTATTTCCAGCTTCATTTTTATATTCTTTTGTTCTATATAAAGACATTACATTTGAACATTGAATTTCTTTATCAGTTTCAAATTTATTAATATCAGCTAATGTAAACATATCTGCTGTTTGAAAAATAGTTTGATAATCAGAAGTAAATTGAAATTCAAGAACATTAAAATATCTATTTAATTGGAAATATGTTGGATATCCAAGAGCTATTTCAATATCTTCTGTGGAAAATGAAAATGAAAGTTCATTATTTTGTATTTGAATTGGTTTTAATCCTTGGGAAGGAGTTACTCGATACAATTGCCAATAAAAAGAAGGATCATAATGAATAATTTCTTTTCCTTCTTCAAAAACAATACTTTCAGGAATAAATTGACAAATTTGAGTTAAATTATATTGAGGGAATTGAGTAAATGCAGTATATTGAGTATTTAGAATTGGTTGAACTTTAGAAAATATTACAGTAACACGTTGTAAAGAAACTAATTTAATTGATGATTCATTAAAAAATGGAATAGTATATATCCCTGTTAAAGTATTAACTTTATATTCTTTATTTCCAAGCAGTAATAAATAATGAGGAAGAACTGTATTAATTGGTTGAATATCAACAGTAAATTCATTAACATTAACAATAATAATAGAAGGATTTTTTTCAATTGGACATGAAATAAATTGAAAGGCAATAGGAATAACTGATATTTCTGTATTAGTTATTGACAATGATTCAAGGATTGTTGAACTTCCATAAATCATTTTTTCATCTTCTTCTTCATGATAACCAGCAATCATTACTCTATGTTTTGTTCCTCCAGTAGAAGTTAATTCCATACATTCACCACATCTATTTGTTTGTTTAGAAATAATAAAAGATTTATGAACATATACTTCTAATGATAAAACAATTCCTTCAACCATTGAACTATTACCAGGAAACGTAAAACATTGAGTTAGTTTTAAGTTATTTGGGGTAGCAGTAAAATGAAACCCAAATACACAAGGTGAGTGTTGATTATTTATAGAAGAGTCATATCCTGCTAATACAAAATAAATCAACGATATAAAAACAAAACAAAACATTAACTTTTAATAATAATTTTTTTTTGTTCTTTTTTTTTTTTAATATTAATATTTAATAATATAAAAGAATTATAATTATAATAAAAAGTATTTTATTATATTGCATTACAACCCAAATGGTAAATTAAAATCATTTGACTTTAATTTTGAAACAAAAGAAGATATTTTTGGTAATGGATGAAAAGATGGAAGTTGTTCTTTCATTGTTTTGAATAAATCATCTAAATAACTTGGAGCATTTTGGCTTTCAACACTTTGAGCTTCATCTATTTGTTTAGTTTTCTTTAACTTACAATTCTTTGGAGTAGATGGTACAGTTCTATATTGACCATAGTCTTCTTCTTCTGGAAGGACAGACAATTCTTTTTCATTGAAGATTGGGATTAAAGGGATATGATGTTCAATGAAAAGAGATGATAGTTTATTCATAATAAAATTATAAGAAGGTTCTGTAGCATCTACATTTTCAATAATAGTTTGAAAAGAATTAATAACAGGCATTTGAATTTGAGTATATTTATAAATTCCACTTTCTTTAAATTGAATTTTTTTTTCACAGATTTGTTGAGGAGAATCATTTAAACTATTCCATGGTAAACTTCCAAGAATATTTTCAAAATAAATAAAAAAAGCAGATACTAAATCATCAGTTCTAGACACTGGTTTTTTTAAATGAGCATTAACAGAAGCATATTGTAAAGTTCCTCTAAATCCTCTATGTTCTTTTCTATTTTTTTTATTTCCAAATTGGTCTAGATAATATTCAGCAATACCAAAATCAATTAAAACAATATCTTCTTTTCCTTTAACTACAAAATTAGATGGTTTAATGTCACAATGAACTATTCCTTCTTTATGAATAAATTGTAAAATTTTAATCATTCTTAATAATAATCTTAATGATGTTTCTTGTGAAAATTGATGGTCTGGAAGTAATTCTTTAAATATTTTTAAATTAATTCCTTGAAGATCCATAATCATAATATATCCAAAATCAGAATATCCACATTCTATCATATTAATAACTCCTTCATTATGTTCTAATTTTCTTATTATTTCTGTTTCTGTTAATGCATCATTCTCTTGACAAAATATTTTTAATGCTGCAAATTGTGTTGGATCAATAATACTTTGACATTTATAAACAGACCCTAAAATCTTTCAGTCTTATTCTTCTCTTTTTACACTTTTAACTTTATTATTTTATTTTTTAAATTACAAACCAAATCCACCTTCACCAAGTTTCTTTATAATTATCCAGTTATTAAAGGATTTCCCAATTACAACGTCCTTTATTGTTTCCATTGTTTAATATTAATTAATATCTTTTTTAAGTTTATATGAACTTGGAATTAAAATCCTCTTGGTTTAGAAGGAGACTTGATTTTACTTCAAGTAAATTTACCTCCAAACTTTTCTTATTTTTATTTATTAATAATAAAAAATATTAAATGAAAATTAATAAAATTATTCTCCTTTATGACTGTTATTTCCTAGTATCTCCATAATTCTATTTTATTGTATTTTATTATTTACTATTTCTATTACTCTTCTTCGTATTTGAGAAGATGATTGTAAAGAATATGATTTTTCCATTGAAGTTGACCTCCTAAATATTGTCCTTCCTCCTTTTTCATGAATTACTTTCTCAAAACGAAACAAATCTCCAGGTTGATTAAATCCCATCAAAAATAAATGTGGATTTCTTTTTAAAACTGGTTCATACCAATTCCCATTTTCACAACCTAAAACTACTTCACTCACTCCTTTTATTCCTTCAACAATACTTTGTCTCATTTTCTCATCTAATACCGTTTCTCTTTGTTTTATTCTTTTAACAACATTGTCACGTGCAATAATAACAACTACTCTTCCAAATTGAGCAGCTTCTTGTATAAAATGAATATGTCCTGGATGAATTAAATCAAATGTACCAGCAATCATAACCTCATAAGGTCCTTCACCAAATCTTTCTTTTAAGTCATGTAGTATTTGTTTTGTTTGTTTTGTTTTTCCTTTCATGTATAAAACAAAAGTCTAAACTTACTAACTTTTTGAGCTTTTTCTTTTAATAAAAAAAAAACGAGAATATTGAATTTCTTAGTAAATCATTTGATTTTCTTTCACTATTTCTTGTTTTTTACTTTATAACTTATTAAAAAATTATTCTTTTTTCAATAAAAATTGAATAGTTATGAATCTTTTATTGATTTTTAACATACTTTATAATTTTGTTTATAATAACAAAAATTTATGAATAATTAATTGTTTTTTTTAAAAGAAATTTTATAATAAAATTATTTTATTAAATAAAGTTTTTATCATATTTAATAGTATTGAGATTCTATTTGTTTAATAATACTTTGATTAATTTTCATAATTCTAAAATTAATCAAATTGAATTTTATATAAAAAATAAATACTTCTACTAAATAAATTATTCTGAAACTTTAATTATTACATTCTTGTATACGAAATAATTAGTATTTTAATTTGTTATTAATTAATTATTTAAATAAATACATTGTTTTTAGTCTTATTTTTTTCATAGACTTACTTTATTATTAAAGAAATTCAAAGAGAAGAAATGATTTTATCTCTTAAAATCAATTTTTGGTTTATTTTTATAGTTCTATTATTTACTAACCAACATATAAAATATTTTTTCAATTTTAATATTATATACCAATAAGCTACTTATTTCTTTAACAATACGTCAAAAATTTACTATTTTATTTTTCACAAGAAAAATAATAAGAAAAACAAACACTAAAACCCTTAGTCTATAAATATAACCAACGAGTGTTTTTAACAAGTCAAATAGATCCATCAATTACATGATATTAAAAAAATAAAATATAAAAGAAAAATGTGTTATCAACAAAGAAAAACTTAGAACCAAAAATGAGAAAAATGAAATTTTTAATGAATGGAAATTCTGAAAAAACAAAAAGAGGGGTGTTTACGAATAAAAAAAAAGAAAAGAAGAACTGAAAGGGTTGACTAAAAAATTCATTAGTTGAAAGCATGACTGAAATGAAAGAAGTTAAAGCTATGACTCCAAAAGAGTTTAAAGCTAAATCAAAACCAAAATTTGCTGCTAATTTTGAAGAGTATTATCCTGTTAATACACTTAGAAAGTATGGATTTGAACGACATGAATGTCCTATTTGTCATGAACATTATTGGAGTACAGCCACTACTAGAGTAAAAACATGTGGAGATTCTAATTGTGAAGGAAAATATAAATTTATTGGAACTGGTTGTGGTATTGGAGCTAAAGGACATAAAATTACTATTGACGAAGCATGGAAAACTTATGAAAAAGCTTTAACTTCTACAGAAATCCCAGCTACTGCTATTAAAAGATATCCAGTAGTTGCTAGATGGAGAAATGATGTAGATTTTGTTGCTGCAGGTATTTATTGTTTCCAACCATATTGTGTTACTGGACAATTAGAACCACCAGCAAATCCATTAATTTGTCCACAATTTTGTCTTAGATTTAATGATCTTGATAATATTGGAATATCAGGAAGACATTTTTCTGGATTTATTATGATTGGTCTTCAAGTATTTAATTCACCTCAAAAATATGTTTATTTCAAAGAAGAATGTGTTGACTATAATCTTAGATGGTTAACAAAAGAACTTGAAATTGAACTTGATGACATTACTCTTATTGAAGATGTTTGGTGTGGTGGAGGAAATCTTGGACCATCAATTGAAATGTTTGTTAAAGGACTTGAAGTTGGAAATATGGTCTTTACTCAATACAAAATTCTTGACTTTGTTAAAGGAGAATTTGAACCATTAAAGCATCAAGTCATTGATGTAGGAATTGGACTTGAGAGAATTCCTTGGTTAATTAATGGAACACCAACTTCTTATTTAGAAGCATTCCCAGATGCAGTTAAATATCTTCAATCAAAACTTGGAGTCACCTTAGAAAGTGATGTTATTTCTAAGTTTGCTCCATACTGTTGTTTACTTAATTTGGATGAATGTAAAGATGTAAATAAAGCATGGGCTGATATTGCTAAAGAATGTGGAGTTGAAAATAGAGAGGTTTTGCAAAAAGCTATTCAACCTGCAAGAGATCTTTATATTATTGCTGATCATTCAAGAACTATGTTAATTGCAATTTATGATGGAGCTTTACCATCTGCTGTAGGAGGAGGAGCTAATTTAAGAAATATTGTAAGAAGAATGTTTAGTATTCTTTCTAAGAATGGATGGTGGGAAAAACTTGGTGGTATGGATGGACTTATGGAATTATTTGAATGCCATAAAAAAGACCTTGAAAAGATATATGGTAAATTTGATGAATATAAATCATTTAGAAAGATTATTGAAATGGAATACCAAAGATGGTGCACTACTGATATTGAGTCACAACAAAAAGTTCAAACTTTACTTAAAAAGAAAAAGGGTGTATTGACTGTTGATGATTGGATCTTTGCAATGAAGTCATATGGATTATCTCCAGATAAAATTAATGAAATTTCCAAACTTCCAATTCCAGATAATTTGTATACTAAACTTGCAGAATTAGAAGATCAAAGAGTTAAAATGCTTCCAACAGAATTATATGAAACTGCTGATATTCCTGAAACAAAAGAACTTTTCTATGAAAATGGTGATTTAAGAGAATTTAATAGTGAAATAGTTAGTATATTGGAAAAAGTTGATGAAAAAGGAAAAGGTACTGGAGTTCATAACCTTGTTATTTTGAAAGAAAGTGCATTTTATCCAATTGGAGGAGGACAAGATAATGATACTGGAAAGATTAAAATTGATGGAGTTATCTATGATGTTACTTATGTTGAAAAAGTTGGTAAATGTATTCTTCATCATATTAATTCAGACCTTAAGAATTGGAAAGAACTAAAAGGTAAAGTTGTTACAGGATATGTTGATGATCAAAGAAGAAACCAATTAAGAGCTCATCATACTGCTACACATATTATTCATCAAGCAGCACATCAAGTTCTTGGTCCACATGTATGGCAAAATGGAGCAAAGAAAACAGTTGAAGAGGCTCATTTAGATATTACCCATTTCTCATCTATTACCAGAGAAGAAGAAAATGCAATTGAAAAACTTGCAAATGAAATGATTCGAAAGAGTTTGAAAATTAATAAATTTGTTTTATCTAAAGAAGAAGCTGAAAAGAGATATGGATTTTCTTTGTACCAAGGAGGTGTTGTTGCTGGTAATGAAGTTAGAATAGTTGATATTTCTGGGTATGACACTGAAGCTTGTTGTGGTACACATTGTGATAATACTTCACAAGTTGGACTTATTAGAATTATTAAAACAAATAGAATTTCAGATGGTGTAGTTAGAATTAGATTTGTTGCTGGTGATGCTGCTTATAAAAATATGGCAATGGAAAAGAATCTTATTAATGACCTTTGTGATTCTTACAGTGTTCTTCCAGAAGTATTACAACCAACTCTTGAAAGAATCTTCACTGATTATAAAAAATTAACAAAACAAAGCAGTAAAATGATTGGTGAAATTTTCAATTTGTATATGAGAGTGATTCTTGATGAAAAGAATAAAATGGTGTTTGCCTCAATCCCTGGTGCTACTCAAACAACTTGTGTTTCATTTATTCCTCAACACGCTCCAGAATTTAAAAAAGCAGGTAAAAGTGTCTTGGTTCTCGCTGAAGGAATGGTTTATGCATTGGTTAACACTTCTGATTTCAAAGCAGAAGAATTAAAAGAAATTCTTGAGAAGAGTAAAGTTTCAAAAAGAAAACAAGAAAAGAAAGAAGAAGGAAAAGAAGAGAAGAAGGAAAAATCTGTTCCATTTAGAATTTCTCCTTTGAAAGTAAAAGTAAAAGGAAAGAAACCAGAAGTTATTGAAGGGTATGTGGAAGTTACTGGAAGTATTGGAGGTAATGTTACTTTAGTTACTGATTTTCTCAAGAAAGCAGGATTTATTGAGTTCCAACTCTAAAAGAAAAATAAACTTAGTTTAGCTAGTTTTTTGTGAAAAGATGTTTA